ATTTATTTCCTCATAGACTCAGTGCCTTTTGTCTTTCGTTTCAGCTTTCAAACTTCTACCTTGGTCTACACATACTGTGAGTAATGAAATTTCTTTACGGAGGAATAACGACATAAAATGTTCTGCAATGTTTTCTGTTTTTCTCTTCGTGATGGACGTGGTTTTTCATTTAGGTGTTTCTTGGATAGCCTGTAGCTATGCTCAGATTCTTAATTCAGGCAAATAACTTCTCTCTAGAACAGAAACCCAAATAATGTCTTCATTATGTTCAGGATTAGTTAAATGAAGAAATCTGGTAACTTCTGAAAGAGAAAACTGACAGATGTTTGGGAATAACAAGACCAGTGGAGAAGAGAGACTAACCTAAATGAGCAACTGATGAGACAGACGGGGCTACTGATCGTAGGGAAGACGAGGCTCAGAAACAGACACAGCAGAGACACAGGCAGAGATGGGTGGTGCCTCTGCGTTTCTCCTACCCTCTCACTGCAGGACTCTGGGCTGAGTATGGCTGTATTTCTCTGAATAAGAAGAGGGTTTTACACAGCAGATTCTTCCAAATGCCTCTTGAATAAATGATTAAATGGAAGTTTTATACTTTCACTCAGTTTAGGCCTTAAGATAATGACACGAAAATTAAATGATCCAAAAAGGACCATGTTTGAAAACAGTGAAAAAATTTTCATCACATACCCAGAAAATAGGCTATCAGCCAAAATCATATAGCAGAATTAAAAATGGCACTGAACCAATTTCATGGTAATTTATTGTCAGATGTAAGCAAGACCAGTTTTGTGTGGGAACAGTAAATCATTAATATTTAGCCCTCACTAGATTTAGTTTTTATTAGTAATCTTAGGAAAATTTAAGTGAAACAGTCCTGTTTTTGTCTTCAGCAAACCAGTAATTCTTATGCATATCTAATTCTTATCTTCTGTGCAGATTGGCTATAATCTGGTGATGAATGTTATTATATTCATTAAAGTTTTCTTAAACACATGCTTTGCTGGAAAGTGAAGAAAAACGTCTCCCCATGTAGACTGTTGCTTAAAGACTAGAAGCATCTCTCCTATTATCATTTGAAATGTACAGGGCTGGTAACATATGTATCATTTTGATGATGCTTTTCACTG